GAGGTACGGTCCGGCATATTAGATAGTGCCAGGGTACGTTCCGGTATACCGGACCGTACCCAGGGTACGTTCCGGCAGTACCCCGGGGGACATAGACCCTCTCAGCGCAAGCAGCAGCAGCAAATGCCCGCCGTAGCCGAGCCGGTGTAGGTGTGACGAAAACTGCGCGATGTTACGCTTCCCGCTATACGGATTCGCGCGCCCGCCCTCCTTCGGCGCGCGAATTCGTATAGCGGGCAGCGCGAAATGCTACATACAACACACCGCGGTCGCGTGCGCCCAGTCCCGCGGAAGTGCGCGGTTTAACCGCTCTTGGCGGTCGGGGAACAACGCATCTTTTGCGCAACGCCATCTTGTACCCGGTCTCTCTGGATCCGATCTTCGATATTTTCCCCCGTAATTTTGATTCCACTTCGATAGCACTTTTTTCCTCCAATAGATGGCGGCACTACGCTATATACTGTGGAGTATTACTCACCAATGTTACTCAGCGGCTGTGCTGTGTATATATATACTCTCTAGACTCTCTAGTCTATTCACCATTTAGTAGTCATTGGCAATTTCTAATAATTTATTATTGCAAAATAATGAAAATATAAAAAATAAGATAACATTTCAATATTTTGGGAATCGAATCGAAGGAATCGAATCGAGAGGCTAATATCGAGAACCGGATCGAATCGAGAGGCTTGTTTATCGTTACAGCCCTACATTATATTACGTAGTTTTCGAAAATTTGAAACTATGAAAATGCTGGATACATAAAAAAATGGCTCTAGTAAATTTTTGGCAAGTCAGAAAAATGGCTCTGTTGAAAAAAAGTATTTTTTATCCTGCCCCAACCCCCACTACAGGGTGGGGAATTAACGCTGCCACATCCGGGATTTAATGCGCATTTAACGACAGTAGCCCGGGTTGGCCAGGAAATTAACGACGTTTTACCAGCGGGGCCATTTAGACGTGATTTAACTATGAGCAGCTTGCACCGCAAGTGGGGGACTCGCCGTTACAAAGTTAGCAGTACTTTACCAATTGATACGTTTATTTGAAAAAGGTGTCACATGACAGAAAGTCACATGAATAAATACTTGGACTTTACGAACCAGAATTTAGTTTTGTTTGGAATCTGAGAAATGATCCCCGGTTATAGGGGCTTTTAACAGGCTACCTGTCCCTTATGGGCGGGGAAATTGCTGTTTTAACACTAAGGACGTGTTAAATTTCCCGCTTTTTCTTGGGGGTCGGGGGGGCCAGAGTTTCAATTGACTGGTGCATTATACCTGAATATATATATACCTATATATATACCTAGAATATTTATACCTGAATGCTGTTTAACGGAACGATGTTCATTTTAGGACAAATTTATCCATAATATAACTGAAACTATATGTCTACTAACTATCGTTTATAAGATATTACAATCCTTTTGCTTTTAAATTAATAAATAAAACACACCCTCGGTCTGTAGCCCTTGGCTGAAAAGTCGTTTTGCACAACTTTTCAGATCGTGCGCTTTGAGTGGCGCCACCGTCGTTGTAAGCAAACTGTAGTCGTTAGTTTTAAAACATCAAAAAAAAATTTCTAATGGTGATTGAACCATGAAACTTTTTATGTAGCCTAATTTTAACCTAAATTAACTGAAAATAACCCTAGAACCTAGAGTAAAGGATCCCTTTAACGCACACACGCATGCAAGCATGCGCACAAGCACGCGCGTGGCAATAAATTCTGCGCGCACGCCACACACACACACACACACACACCACACACACACACACACACACACACACACACACACACACACACACACACACACACACACATATATATATATATATTTACACATGTTGGTTATCTTTACATGAACATAAGTTAAATCAGTTGCCTATCATCAATGTCACAATTTGCTTTGAATTATACTAGTATCTTGGATTTCTTTGTTTAAGCATTCGTCAAGAGTCGTTCAGAAAAGGGAAAAGGAGCTTTGATCGAGGAACACCTTACACAATTAACATGCCTCAAAATAAATCATCGAGAAAGAAATTCGTGGATTGATGTGTGATAAGCATGAGAAAGAACAACTACATGCCTCAAAGGAGGAAGGTAATTCTATGGATTTTGTTTAAGCTCCGTCTACTTTGATTTTTTTTACAGTGAAACGTCTAACGTCTAAGATTTAACGCTCTAATTATTGAGGGCGTAAACCACACATATAAACCTCATAC